AGTGGCTGGCAGAAAGGGTGATTTTAACAGCAAAAAATGTGGGAGTCAACGAATTGAATCTGAAGATACAACAGCTATTGCCAGGTAACTTGGTGACATACAAATCCGTTGATGCAGTTTGCGATCGCATTGAAGCTGCAAATTTCCCAACAGAGTTTTTAAACTCTTTGGATTTACCAATCATACCACAGCATAATTTAGTACTCAAAGTTGGATCTCCGGTTATTTTGTTTCGTAATTTAAACCCATTACGGCTATGCAAAGGCACGCGATTAGTCGTAAAAAAATTAATGAACAATGTTATCGCAGCCATTATTTTAAATGACAGATTACGGGGTTAAAGTATATTACTTCCACGAATCCCTATTATACCCACAGATGTTCCAATTCAATTGAAACACATTCAGTTCTCCATTAGATTGGCATTTGCAATGATAAGGCCAAACAATGTCTGTGTCTTAGATTTGAGCACACCATGTTTTTCACACGGACAATTATACGTGGCATGCTCTCGAGCGGACAAACCATCCAGTTTATTTGTGTTAGCTAAAGAAGGAATGGCAAAAAATATTGTACACTCCATTGCACTTACAGATTAATATTGTTGACTAATTCGTTGTACATATAATTTATAAAAAAAAGCTACAATAAATTAAAAAACTATTACTCGGTGTGTTGTTATTTTCACATTCCGCCATCGGTCACAGCGCTTCATGCTTTTTTCACTCATATACCACATACGCACAATATATTTTCATAACTCATATATATATATATATATANTATATATATATATATTCATTTCAATTGTACTAACTAAATGAATATTAATAGAATAAATAATCATTGAAATAAAAAAAAATCCAATAAAACGATTATAAAAAATATATATTCTATATATTTGTTACTGCAGATAGCCGAAATACATTTCTATGCGTACAGTTATTATAGTCCTTGTGACCATACATGGCGCTATTTTTACCTGTAGCTCGTTACTTCTCAAATGCTGCCCTTTTAGCTTAAATTTCGTAATTTTTTTCGGGAAAAAATACAAAAGCATTTGTAAAGAAAATATCTAAAGAAATCGTTACTTTTTTCAGGAATTCTTAAAAAAGTTCCCCCCACCCCAAAAAAAAAATTTTTTTTCCATCAATCTTATAAATTTATTGTATAATATATTATTTTAATTACTAACTTCCTTTTTATATAACACACTTGAGGATTAGGAATTTATACTTCAATTTATGTGACTTTATTTCATTGTGACAATTAGCCGCTTTACACGAATTGAGAAAGACTGCAAAACAAAAACCGTACATTAACCGTAATTTATTTAAGAGCAGTAATTTATTTTTCTTCAATCGATGAAACGTGGGAATAACTTTTTTTCCCTATTAGAGATAACTAAGAATTTCACACAATTTAGATTAGAAACAATATCAGTTTGGTGAATGCAAGACAGTGGTCCGAAACCTTATAAAATCAGTATAAGGAATACCGGGCAATGGCCTGTAACTTAAAAGATAACATCAGTGTATTGAATACGGGACAATTGTTTATCAGGTAACTGACGCTTTTAAAAAAAAAGTATTATGAATACCGGTCAACGTCTTTTTACCTAGAGGAAAAAGAAACAACGGTGTAGGAAATACGATAAATTCCCTATCATTCTGCAATTGTACAATCTATGTCGTGGTGGCTCAGAGGATACAGCGTTCGCCTTCCAATGAGGTGAACTGGGTTCAAATCCCATCTATGTATGGTAGATACGATTTTCGTTCCCGGCTAGCACTAACCGGCTGTTCAACAACGGTTATGAAATTTAAGAAAAAATTTGAAAAATTCAATTGAATAGGGAGTTAAACAGTCTAAAATTAAGCAACTAGTGCTGCACGCTTCATGTTTGGCAATCTTGCCACCGGGAAAAGTTGCAACTAATCATTAATATAACGAATCAAAGATTTTGTTACTATGTAAATGAAATTTCACCAGAATTCCTCGTTATTTCCCTAAAGTTTCCTAATTTGTTCCCTTTTTTTTAACAAATTCCCAGGATTTTTTTCACACATCAAGCTATTTTTAGTGTTGACTAAAATTAATCCTCCGTTTTTCCCATTAAATGTAAAGTATACAGTTGATGCCTGATTATAAAATTCAATGCAATTTAAACTAGTTCTCAAATCAACATTATCGTAAAACATAAATAATTTTTATTCGCTTTCTTTTTTCACTCTCTTTGATAAGAAACGTGAACAGCCTTGTTCGATATCAGCTGCTTTGTTCTCACGTAAAACATTCAGATGGTGATGGAGTAATGATAAACAAGAGAACTTTGACACGATACGGAAATACTTCTGAGTCAAAGGAGAAATGAAGTATTTTGAATACTTTGATTTTCAACTTTTTTCACGTTTTCAATGAAGACTTTCCTTGTATACGCTAGTATGAACCGAAATTCTTCTCAGACTTCGAGATGCATCGTTAGCCAACAATCAAAGTTATATAAATACAGAATTCAAAATAAAAATTTTAGTTTTAAATAAAATTGTAAGTCAAAAATAAATCCTTGTAACGTATTTCAGTGTATTACTCAAATCGTTCATTCTTATAGCCAAATGTATTGCCAAATTGAAGTATTCTTGTCTTTGTATTCTTTAGACAACCGACTAAAAGCAGGCACCGATATGGATCACCACTGTGGTATGGCCATCGTAATTCTTGTTCTTTCTGTACCAGACTTATTTTATACCGCCGTTTTATCAGCTTAGCTATATAATACAATGCAGTTCACGTTTAACATAGCATAAGAAGATAACTGAGACAGTAGTTAAGGATAAAGGATAAAGATTTAAGGAAGAAAAAAAATAAGGGGAAATGATGTTCACTTTCTAAATTGATATCTGACATAAAAACAACATCTTCCCCTTTGTCCCTTTTCGTATAGTTTTGTTAATTTAAATTAAAACTAATTAAAATAAAATTAATTTAATTTAATTTCAACAGAAGAATCCATTTGCCTCAAAATAGTTTTAGGTGCTACAGTGGAAAGTTACTAATTTTTAACTTGTTTTAAACAAATAATTTCTGTACTCTAAATGTTTCATTACGACTGATTAACGGTATCGTAATATCTGACTTCTCGCAGTATGGCTCTCGTTATATGATAACAAGATTTAAATATTGTAATTGTATATAAAAATTCTAAAGAGAAGAAGTGAAATTTTGATTTACTTGCGACGAAGAAAAATGTATCAAAATTGTACTAAACTAATTGTATTGACGATATAAATATACTACAGGTGGCTTAGGATATAACTCTTTAGGCATGGCAACACTTTACGTGCCTTTACCATTAGCGTGTGGAGAGTCATAGAAGAAGGAAGTACGTTAGTTTCTGTCTTGATTTTCATATGGATTAAAATCTTTCAAGTTGGGGAAACTAAATGAAACTGTAACTGCATTAAACATAACTCTAAAAGAAAGCATCATGGAAACTATAAAAAGTATTTTTATTAATAAAAAACGAAGAATATTAAGAAAAGAAAAAATATCGTAGAACATTCCTATACATCTGGAAAGGGGAGGAGAGGGAACGGAGAAGAGTCAAAGACTTGGAATCAATCTTTAACAATTGGCATTTTCTATATTTTTTTAAAACTAATTTCTCGATTTTAAAAACTAATTTTTTAAGAATATAATTATATTTCTTTGGAATACAGAGGCTTTTTCACGATTATTGGGACAATCAATGGGCGAAGGGCGTATCTCTTCTGACCCCCCCGGCACTGCTCTTACCTGCATTTGAGTTACAGGGAGAATAAAACCCCTAAAACCTCATATTGTTAGACAGTTGGTAAGGGTATCATGACATATTGTCTGTATACCACCAGAGATATTTTCACATTAGCCGTGGGAGGTGAGACGATCTGGTAGCAGTATACGAAACGATTAGCCATTACTGACTTCGAGCTCGCGTCACCTTATTGGATGCGATTGCTCTATCCTCCCCAGGGCCATACTGCAAAGCCCCACAATTCAGTTTGTCTTAGCTGGGACACTAATAAGGTCAACGTCCCACAAGAGCTTAATTAATGAGCCATTAAACTGTTGATCTATTACCCTGATCTTACAATAGGTTAAATTGCGAGCATAGGTTAAATTGTCTCCAAAAAATAACTTTATTAGTGCTTAAAAAAATCAGCGCACGTGTTTAATTGCAATAGGATAAGTAGTAGTAGTTCATTTACGTTGTACTAGTGCTGCACAATGGACTATTGGCGTTCTGGGAAGCGCCCCTGATGATAATCCGATGACATGCCATCACAATTGTGATCCTTTGAAGAGGTGATGGCATCCCTTCTTCGGCAGCCCGATAACCTGCAAGCAAAGTCGAGCACTTTATTTTAGAACAGTTTGACGAGGACCAATACCGCACATCCTCGATCCTTACGCAGATTAATCCAAGTGGTCATCCACCCACACACTGACCGCAACTAGTGATGCTTGACTTCGGTGATCTGCAGGGAACCGTGTCTTAACGATCAGTCCACTGCGGGATGAAATAGGATGAATTTCAAGAAAATCGTTCGTTTTGGGGGGCATGCGAAAAAGTTGCAAATATGGAGAAGGGCCCTTGAAGTAGATTTTATGACCAAACTTATCATTACACCCTTGATGTTAGCTCCAGGACACACTCACTAGCAGTTCCGATATATTGAAATGAACCTGAGGAGATATAAATGCGCTCAATCTGGATAAACGTAATTTGAGAAGTGAAACTAAGCAGTCAGCAGTTTCCGCTTCAAGCCGGTTTTCTACTTTCTGTTTTCATTTAGCGCCTCTCGTTGATGTGAAACTAATTGTCGTCAATCAACGATTTTTTTCTGTTCCTATTTATACAGCAGCAGTTTCCTGTCTTTTGTTTGTAATTATTTTTGTTTATGTATGGGAAGTTATTTCTACTACATTCTAATATTTAACAGATGTTCTCAAGTATTATTCAGTTGAACTTTGATCAGTGCGAGATAATATTTTTTTTGAAAAAAGTAAAATTTTTCAGTCACTCTCATAAAGTATCATACATAGAAAACATGAAAGTTTTCGCTCTCTTTGTTGTGGTATTATTTTGTGGGGCTTCTTCAGGTAATTTAATGTTTATTAAAGTGCCAAGTTTTTAATTTCATTAAGAATTATTGACGTTAATTTAAAATTAATTTTGCATGTTGCTTGCACATGTTTGAAATTGGAGATACGTATTCAAATCGTTATAATGTATCTTGATTTTTAACTGCGTAAAAGCGTATTATTTCTTTGTAATAATTTATATTAGGATGGCCAATTCGGTATTTATAATTTAAAGTTCGAAGTGTTAATCTACATTGTTTAATTTTAAAATTGCCTTTGTGTTTTGCATGTATTTAGGAATTAAATATTCGAAACACAACCTATAAGTTATTATTTTTAGTGATATAAATGATCCTTTTATTGCTATTTCAAGGCCACGTGTTGGCCCCTTCTTAAATTTGAATTAAAACACCTGTGTTTGAAAATTGAAATATTCTGTTAACATGATCTTTAATCTTAAGTTGGGCTAGCATTAAATTATTTCTATTAATTCAAGTTTATTTTTTGGAACATTTTCAGATAATTTTTAGTTTGAAGTATCCTAATCTAGACTAAAGCCTAGCACTGCTAAAAATCTGAGATATGTATTATACAAACTAACTACTAAATATAATTATTATATAAAATAATGTTTTACATGATTCAGAAACAAAGATTGCGCCAGACTCTGCCCGACAAGGGGTCAAGTATCCCCCGACAGGGGGGCTCAGACAAATTAATTCAAAATATTTAAATTAAACCGAATTTTATACTTTAAATTTTGTCTCACATCATTTTTTCAAGTGTGTTTCTAAGAATCTAAATCACTAATATTGTTACCATTATGTGCAGATTCTTTTTAATGTAAATTTAAATATAATTTACTTTCTGTTATCGATGTATTTTGTACTGTATTTTGCTATTTACCATACATTGTAAGTGTAAAAATTACTTCTGTAATAAAGAAAATAGTTGTAGCAGTAACCGCTATTACAAAAAATTTCTGCGTTTCTTTCTCTCATAGCGCAAAAATTATTCGTTAAAAAAAATTTGAAATTTCATGCACATTTAACAAAACATTTAAGGAACATTTTGATATAAATGTTATTTCTATGTACATCGATTGGTTTTTGAATCATTTAAATGTTTTGAAAATAAAGTTTTAAGTACATTTTTTGCATCCACGCGTTCTATCTAAAGATATCATGCCCCGTTTTGAACGAACTTCGAAATGGTTATGCACATAAAATTGCAAAATTCGAATTTTTTAAATTGTTACATAGTATAATCTTACTGACAAAAATGGGCTATTTTAATCCGGAGACTCGATTTTAATATATGCCCCAAATAAATACAAAGAGACTTTTAAAATTTCTCCTTGCGATTCCATTTTCTTTTCAAAGGCTCTTAAAGTAAACATCTATGGCCGGCAAAATGCTAATTTCTCCATTTGAGAAAAAAGAGTAAGTCCATCGGCTTAAAATATAAGATTCAAATAATATAGCTTAAATTTGTAATTATTTTTCAATTTAAAAATTTTAAATTTGCGTCCGAGAAAGAAATATTAATTAACTTACATTTTTTTTAAAAATTGTCACACATGGCTGCTGTTTGTCTGCGTATGTTTTCGTTTCTCTGCAAAGCTGAAAGCACACTTTCTACAAAGGTTTCTGTTTTGGCCTGCAGAAGCTTTTCACATATTGACATACGCCTGCAACGAATAACCTTTCACACAGTTAATTAATTATTGTTTACCACATATCAAGGCGAAACATTCTTTCCTCTACGATTTAAATTTGCTTTTGCTTTCATAGTTACGAATTTTAAGTCACAAAAAATGGACACTAAAAATTAAGAAGTTAGGGAACTAAATTTCGAAAAATAAGAGTTTTTTTTATTTCTTAGGATTTATTTGACCGATTTTGCTTCCCTTAAATAAAGTAATAATAAATGTTTACCAAAAGTTTTATTTTGCATAAAATTTTCCTTAGAAAAGCGAATAGGAATTGATTGATCTGATTGGAATTGTATGCAAAACTTTTTCAATTCGCTTAAAAAAATTTGGGATATGGCGAAATACGCAAAAACTAAAGTTAACATTAAAGGGTCCTAACTTTCAAGCGCTCTCCTGAAAAAACTATTGGAACAATATTTATAGATTGAAACAACTNTTTTTTCAAGTGTGTTTCTAAGAATCTAAATCACTAATATTGTTACCATTATGTGCAGATTCTTTCTAAAGTAAATTTAAATATAATTTTTTTCTGTTATCGATGTATTTTGTACTGTATGGTGCAATTTACCATACATTGTAAGCTTAAAAATTACTTCTGTAATAAAGAAAATAGTTGTAGCAGTAACCGCTATTACAAAAAATTTCTGCGCTTCTTACTCTCATAGCACAAAAATTATTCGTTAATAAAAATTTGAAATTTCATGCATATTTAACAAAACATTTAAAGAACATTTTGATATAAAATGTTATTTTTATGTGAATCGATTGGTTTTTGAATCATTTAAATGTTTTGCAAATAAAGTTTTAAGTACATTTTTTGCATCCACGTATTCTTTCTAAAGATATCATGCCCCGTTTTGAACGAACTTCGAAATGGTTATGACCATAAAATTGTAAAATTCGAATTTTTTAAATTGTTACATAGTATAATCTTACTGACAAATAAAGGGCTATTTTAATCAGGGGACTCGATGTTAATATATGCCGTAAATAAATACAAAGAGACTTTTAAAATTTCTCCTTGCGATTCCTTTTTCATTTCAAGGGCTCTTAAAGTGAACATCTATGGCCGGCAAAATGCTAATTTCTCCATTTGAGAAAAAGAGTAAGTCCATCGGCTTAAAATATAAGATTCAAATAATATAGCTTAAATTTGTAATTATTTTACAATTTACAAATTTTAAATTTGCGTCAGAGAAAGGAATATTAATTAACTTACATTTTTTTAAAAAAATTGCCACGCATGGCTGCTGTTTGTCTGTGTAGGTTTTCCTATCTCTTCAAAGCTGAAAGCACGCTTTCTACCAAGATTTCTGTTTTGCCCTGCAGAAGCTTTTTACATATTGACATACGCCTGCAACGAATAACCTTTCACACAGTTAATTAATTATTGTTTACCACATATCAAGGCGGAACATTCTTTCCTCTACGATTTAAATTTGCTTTTGCTTTCATAGTTACGAATTTAAGTCACAAAAAATGGACACTAAAAATTAAGAAGTTAGGGGACTAAATTTCGAAAAATAAGAGTTTTTTTTAATTTCTTAGGACTTATTTGACCGATTTTGCCTCTTTTAAGTAAAGTAATAATAAATGTTTACTAAAAGTTTTATTTTGCATGAAATTATCTTTCGAAAAACGAATAGGAGTTGATTGATCTGATTCGAATTGTATGCAAAACTTTTTCAATTCGCTTAAAAAAATTTGGGATATGGCGAAATACGCAAAAACTAAAGTTAACATTAAAAAGGGTCCTAACTTTCAAGCGCTCTCCTGAAAAAACTATTGGAACAATATTTCTTGATTGAAACAACTATGTTTTGGGGGTCAGAAATCCGAATCCGTCGAAAAACGGAATGTTTAATCGGATTATGTTTTTATGTCCAATTTCCTAACTTAAAATATCGTTTGGACTAATTAATTAGTATATTTGATGTCAACCTCTCGAACCATTAAAAATGAGTCCAGTGGGTCCATTTATTTCTTTTACGCACTTTACAGTCCGCAAAAAAAAGATATCACCCTGAATAACTTTCGTTCTAATTATCGGATTTTCACGATCTAAGTGTCAATCTTAAAGGTTCCTGGGGGTGACCTCAAATATGCTAATTAATTAGTGCTAACTATTAATTAAGCTACGAAATCAGACACAAAAACGTACTTTCTCTGAATAAGCATGCATGTTTTTTTATATAATTGGAGTCTAGACACTTGAATTTTTAAAAAAATGGGTCGTAAATTGGGTCGCAATAAAGGTTTATATATTTAGCGATAGTCCAGGAAACCGCCAAAAAATGTTGTCAGCGCAAATTAATATTTTTAGATAGCCCATTGACTAATTCAAAAGAAGAGTGCTTACTTTTACAAGGTTGCTAAGCAAGCAAGCTCTGACTGCAAAAAGAATTGGAATTATGTTCTATAACTGCTCGGACAGGTTTAATTAATAGTTAATGTTAAATATCTCGAAGTTTCTAGGCAATGGACAATTTTTAAGCTGATTTCTGTCAAAAAAGCAAATTTTTTTATATTTTAATCATCTTTTGAAAAGAAAATTTAAAGTGATTTATAAATTATTTATGATTTTCTAAGTTTTTAGATTTTAAATACAGGAACATTTTTATCTGATATTATTTAGATTATGTTGTTTTTGCTATATTTATTCGAGGATTTCATACTAAAATCAAATTAATATAACTTATTGTGGCTATATACAAAATTTTAGGGATAATCATTTTTACACCTTTAATCAAGTCTTCTAAGCAAGGAAGTTAGAAGGAAAAAGAAGTGCCTGAAAAATAAAATGTATATTTTACAGTAATTCTTATGCACATTCACGAGATTTTCTATAATTTGCGATATTTCCTTTTTCTCTAACTCAAGGAATTGCTGAATGTTTAGTGGTATTTTTGAAACATTGAAATAGGGTATGTTAAAGAATAAGATATTGAAATAATATGTTGCATATTGTATGATTCATTGTTTAAAAAATCGCTTCATTCTGCTAAATATTTAGGTTGCAAGGTTTTCTTTGGATAAAGATGATTAGCAAATAGAACAGAACTGAAACTTACGTTCGCAAATTCACCATAAAATGTCGCACAGCATATTCTTCAATTACGTTAAGTTACATTTACCATCAAATACTGCTACTATGATTATTTTTGCTTTCTTATATATATCTGATACGATACTCTCTTTTTTAAAAGAGGTCGTAAGATCCTTAAGATACTGAAATGGGGGCACAAAAACTTAAAAGATAAAATATTTAATTTCATTAACTCAAAATATCTGGTCTCAAAATTTTAATTTTTAAGTTAAATATAACTTTTACAATATTGATGCTCTTACGTTTTTAAAGACCACATAAATCCTGTTAAAATATGAAAATGCATATGTTTACTTTAACGAGTGTAAAATCCTTATCAAAATAATGATCAAGACCCAAATGTAAAACAATATAATTAATGATTAAATCTCAACTGGCTTCAAAAAATATGAAGAGGGAAGTTAAAGTCGAAATGTTTCGAGAGTTCTAATATAATCGCCCATTCTCAAAACTTGTCAAGCTTGAATAACTTGTGACTTTCATTATTGGACGCTCAAAATATGTCTATTTTTATTATCATCTATTATTTTTTAAATCAATGAAGTATTTATATTTTCAATTCAATTTCTAGGGAATATCTATTTAGTTACACAAGATATTAAATTATTTCACTTGATATTAAAATAAGTTTTACATAAGTTGTAGGCACAGGTTCCTAGATTGAAAAAATAATAATTCACTACTTTGTAAAAAATTCAATGCAGTACAATTTTTTTTTTGCTGCAAGCCTTAACATTTTAGTTTAAGGACATAAAAAATTCCGTTTACAATTGAAATTTCAAAAGTCGAATGTGAAAATGGAATGTCACCTAGCACCAGGAATTGAAATTAAATATGCAAATTCTATGACCAATTAGTTTTAGCCAAGAATGTCAAATATGTGTGACGATTTTCAAGGAACGTTTTTAAAAATATTCATACAGTCATACAATTGCTGGAATTTGATCGAAGCAATTCACAAATATGTACAAATTTTGGAGAATTCTATTTATACTTTAGCATATTTTACTATAAAACATAGATATTTCCTCACTAAAATAATATCATTTCTAAAATTAAAATAGAGTTTTATCAAAAACTCTGTTAACTTGAAATCGTCTGGTTAACATAGGTGCAGCATAAAATAATTTCTTTTCAGGGAGAGTGGCATAAGGTATATTTATTTTTTTATTTAATAATTTATTTTAATTTTAGGTGATATACTTTGTATTTGCTTTTGTGCATAATTTCAAATATTGCTTTAATTTTTTTTCTATTCATTATTTTAAATGTTTGAGCAGAATTGGCATATTTTTTCTTACACTAGGTTATAAAAGTAAATGACTTATTCAGAAATAAATATTGATTACTTAGACCTTTAAATGTTGAAAATCGTAACCAAATATGTTTATCATAAAATATTAAGTGATAAGATTATACAGTGTTCCCTCGCCACTTCACGCTTCATGCCTTGCGGCTTCAGTGCTTCGTGGGTTTTTCCGAAATATTCATCAAAAAATAAAAAAAAATTCAACTATGTCGGCAGCCACATTGCGGAAAGGAGCATTGTTTCATGTTGATTCGAGAGGGATAATGCTCTCTGCATGTCAAATAAAGAGATCAGTTGACTCAGAGTACATGTACCGAGTGAGCCTAAAGATTCTACGAATCAAGTGAGATCCTTTCCTCCGCCACCAAAATAAGACTCTTCGCCTCTCTCTGACAGCAATGTTGATTAATGTTTATTACTGTATAAGAGTTTGTAATTAACCTTATTAATTAGCACTGACGAGATTAAGTATACCATTGTAATTTTTTGTCTTAAATGTGTATAAATACTGTTTACATATTTAAAACATTCGTGTACCCGTGTACACAAAAATTCCTAGCGGCAAATCTTACTTCGCCGTTTTCAGCTTTCGCGGAAGGTTCTGGAACGAGACCGCAAAAAACAAGAGATCACTGTATGTGATTATTTCATAATGAAGAACACCACTTTCAGTTTTAAGCCTTTATTTTGAATGATAATCAAAATTTTAAAAATAGCAAATAATATTAAAAAAATTGTAGTAAATAAGTATCATTGGTAAATATACTTAAATAAGAATTAAATTAAGGTGTTACAAGTAAATACTATAATAAATTTTGATAAAATTTTTTGCTAATCAGAAGGAAAGATATCTGTATTTGTTTTGTTTACATAATTTTTCTGTCCAACAAGAACGTACTGGCAACAATCAGAAATGAAGAAAAAAAAAAACAGTTTTGATTAATTATCTTTTGAATAAATTCTAGTGAAAATTATTTATTGTAAGGTAAATGGTTTTCAGTGTTATCTTTTGTATTGATAATTAACAGAAATATACCGTCGTTTTCTTCTTATACCTCTTCACTACACAAAGACCACAGGGCCTTTGTAGATACTGGCCATCTCTCCCTGTTGGTAACTAAGCTTTTTATTTCTCTTCATGTTTTGTTTATTTTCTTTAATTCATTCATAAGAGTTCTACACTATGTCATTTTAGATCTGCCCCTTTTCGTTTACCTTGAGGTGACCATTCTAGCACCTTGGAGTTGCTTGGACCTATTTGCTTTCTCTGATTTCGAATTCTATTGATTTTTATTTATTAGTTTTGAATAATTCCTTTTTAGATATTTTCTGATACCATTTTATATTAAGAATTCTTCAGATACATTTCTTGATAAAAGCCTGAAACTTATCTATATTTGTTTTCAAGTTGTACCAGGTTTCTGATCCGTATAAAAACACGGATTTAATATTTGAGTTGAATATTCTTATTTTTGTTTCATTTGATAAAGTCTCACATGGCCAAAATTTATTGAAAATAGCAAAAGCAGCTGTGCTTTATTTATCCTGTTGGCAATATCTTGATTTATACTGTAGTATTATTTATAATTTTATTTACTTATAAATCTGAATTGATTTCATTGCTATAGCAGCTCCTGCTGATAGGAAAGAAGCCTGGGGCTATGTTGATGTCAGGAAGGATGCTCACATGTTTTGGTGGCTCTATTATACTGACCAGACTACTAACTATGCAAGTTATCCTCTTGTGATATGGCTGCAGGTACATTTTAATTATTTATCATAAATGTGCATTTTGATTGTGAATAAGTATATTTTATGTTTGGAATAGTGTATGTTTACGACGATTTACTGTAAATTTACTGAGTGGACTGTAAATTTACCGATTGATTTTAATAAAGGATAATACACCATAGAATGTCCTCAANGGAATAATTAAAATTTCTTCTTTTGAATTATTAAATATTGTCGAAACAAATAATACTTATTAATGCCTCGTAGCTGGAACTAGAAACAACTAAGATGAGTTTTGCTAGTTTTTCGAGGTTGTTGAAAAGACATCTAACTTCAGGTGTCACTTAAAATAGGGTTTTAACTAATTCCTCACAGAAGTCGGTTGAAGTTTTTTTTCTTTTCTTTAAAGTTTTATTTCTTCTTTTGAACCACATATATTTGCTCTGGATAATCCTATAGAAATTTCAGAATTTCTTCTTTCAGCAGTAAGTCGTTTTCTGCTTCTACAACTTTCTTGATTCCATTTTGATTGAATCTGAAATTTAGTTTTTAAACTGCAGAATCAATGAATCGCAAAATATTCTTTTTTGTAGAAAATTGAAAGTTATTGTCTTTCGTAGAAGGTTGAAATTTTTTAAAAAAAAGTTTTACCTCTTCTTTTAACCCACATACATTTGCTCTGGATAATCCTGTAGAAATTTCAGATTTTCTTCATTTCAGATTGCATTTTAATTGCGAATAAGTATATTTTATGCTTGGAATAGTGTACAATGCTATTGACCATTTTAATTTTCAATTAAATATAGAAGTGGAAAAAAACAGACATTTAAAAAAAGAAGTGACTTTGTGGAAATTATAGTAAAATTATTTTATTCACGAATTAAAAGCTATTTATTAGTGTTAGTAAAAAATGTAATAAAATTTATTTTTTGATAAGATTAATAATAATCTATGAAACTTCATTACGATTTTTCTTCTTTTGAATTATTAAATATTGTCGAAACAAATAATACTTATTAATGCCTCGTAGCTGGAACTAGAAACAACTAAGATGAGTTTTGCTAGTATTTCGAGGTTGTTGAAAGGGCATCTAACTTCAGGTGTCACCTAAAATAGGGTTTTTACTAATTCCTTACAGAATTCGGTTGAAGTTTTTTTTTTTTTTTTAAGAAGTTTCATTTCTTCCTTTGAACCACATATATTTGCTCTGGATAATCCTATAGAAATTTCAGATTTCCTTCTTTCAGCAGTAAGTCATTTTCTGTTTCTACAGCTTTCTTGATTCCATTTTGATTAACTCTGAAATTTAGTTTTTAAACTGCAGAATCAATGAATTGCAAAATATTCCTTTTTGTAGAAAATTGAAAGTTATTGTCTTTTGTAGAAGGTGGAAATTTTTTAAAAAAAAGTTTTATCTCCTCTTTTAAACCGCATACATTTGCTCTGGATAATCCTATTGAAATTTCAGATTTTCTTCATTTCAGATTGCATTTTAAGTGCGAATAGGTATATTTTATGTTTAGAATAGTGTACAATGCTATTGACCACTTTAATTTTCAATTAAATATAGAAGTGGAAAAAAGAGAAATTTAAAAAAAGAAGTGACTTTGTGGAAATTATGGAAAATTATTTTATTCACAAATTAAAAACTATTTATTAGTGTCAATAAAAAATGTAATACAATTTATTTTTTGATAAAATTAATAATAATCTATGAAACTTCATAACGATTTTTCTTCTTTTGAATTATTAAATATTGTCGAAACAAATAATACTTATTAATGCCTCGTAGCTGGAACTAGAAACAAGTAAGATGAGTTTTGCAAGTTTTTCGATGTCGTTGAAAAGGCATCTAACTTCAGGTGTCACTTAAAATAGGATTTTAATAATTCCTTACAGAATTCGGTTGAATTTTTGTTAGAAAGTTTTATATTTTCTTCTAAACCACATATATTTGCTCTTAATAATCCTATAGAAATTTGATATTTTCTTCTTTCAGCAGTAAGTCGTTTTCTGCTTCTACAACTTTCTTGATTCCATTTTGATTAAATCTGAAATTTAGTTTTTAAACTGCAGAATCAATGAATTGCAAAATATTCGTTTTTGTTGAAAACTGAAAGCTATTCTCTTTTGTAGAAGGCTGAAATTTTTTTTAAAGAAATTTTATCTTTTCTTTTAAACTACAAACATTTGCTCTGGATAATCTTGTAGAAATTTCAGACTTTCTTCTTTCAGCAGTAAGTGGTGTTCTGTTTCTACTACTTTCTTGATTCCACTTTGATTAAGTCTGAAATTTAGTCCTTAAACTGCAGAATCAATGAATCGCAATATATTATTTTTTGTAGAAATCTGCTGCATTTTTTTAACATGATTTTGAGTTTCCAGAAAGAGCTTTAAAATCTTTTTCTGAGATTTTCCAAAAGAGTCAGTGTTATCAGTGATATTTTTCATGAGATTTTCCAAATTTTTTGGTGTATTCTGCTGCTTCAAGCAAATTTGCTTTAAAATTTTTTCAGTTCAGAATGCATCAACACTGTCTTCAACAGATATTACAGGATTCATTGTTCCCACTTCTGTCATTTTCCTAATAGGTAAAATCTGTACAATGCTTCTTTATATTACCAGAACAATTTCACAGATTCAATTTTACAACTAGGTATCAGCAAAATAATTTTTTTACCGAAATTTTTCTTACTTTTTCTGATCTGTCTAGCTAGCCACTGCCATTAATAGCTTTACCCACCCTTTAACTTCTCTAGCACTGTAAGAATTTCTACATAGTACTCTAAAATTGAAAGAACTTAGAAAAATCTGCAAATTCAGTGATTTGAACATAAGTCCTTATGCTTTCAATGTCTTGAACTAGCTGATTCTTCGAACGCACATCAAAGTTCAGGCTGTGTTTATAATGATTGACTTAATAAAATGCCAAAATCAGAAAATTTTGCTCAAAACAGCGAATTTTGAACAGTTTATACTATGCATACATTTGGCATGACAAGGTTAAAAAGTCAAAATTATAAAAAAATTATCAGTTATTTACAAAAATTACTATCTTGAATTCAGGATTTTATTTATGTACTTTGTGTTAAAATAATACTAGTTACAACATTAATCCAAATTTTAAGTTTTTCAATTATTCTATGAAAGTTTTACACTTTGCTTCTGTGCTTGAAAATATTAATGTTTCAAAAGCATTATTTATACTAAACAAATTTTACACTTATTTTACTTTAATTAGAAAATACTAGTTTAACTAGAGAAATTTGGTTAATTTTTTAAGTAATATTTATAAAAATATAATTTAAAAAAGGTTAATGATCTTTGCAAGATGATATGAGCTGATTGTCCTGAGAAGGAAATAAAATTTCTGAATTCGTATGATTTTGAACAACTTCCTAAGTTGCTAATTGATAATATTTATATATATATATACATTTTTTTTTAAAGTAAGGAAGTGCAAATCTCCTTTACCTTCTCTTTAAAGAACCTTTTCCAAATAAAGAAGAAATACAAATAACCATATATGGCAACGTTACTTTTAAATAGTAACGAGTAAAAGTACAAATATTTTTAAGAAAAGTAACGAGTAAAAAGTACAAGTAAAAATGCAAGTACTAAACAAAAAAAGTAACGATTTAAAAGTACATTTCTAGGAAATCAAAAATTCAAAGTAACCTAAAATTCTATTGAATAATATTCTTATGTTCTTTAATGTTTTGGTTAAATCGTTGTTACTTATTTAATTATTTTTAATTTTGAAAATTATAGACAGTAATTTATTTTCAAATTCAGAACAATATTATAATATAATTTTATAATATAATCGTATAATATAATTTTAAAATCGAATATAATTTTAACATCAAACTTCTTATGGATTTGCACGAAAAAGAAATTTTATCTATTGACTTTAATTTTTAGTTTATTATTTTTATTTATTTAAATTACCATTGATTTAAAATTGTTTTACTCTATAGAAATGCGTTTTAAAAGAACAAACATAAACAAAGCAGACACGGGGTTTCAGATAGCTTCGTGATCGTTGAGCTAGTAAAAAATAATTGAATGTGCAGTATAAGTTGAAACAGAACAGTCTACAGTTTTATTTGTAACAATGGCAAATGCTGAAGTCATGCGAGAAAATCATTTTCCAAAAATTTCTGCCAAACGGAATAATTAAAATTTGTTAACGAATTTTAGTATCAGCGGCTAAATTAGTAACTTCGAGTTTTCAAGAGTTAAAATAGTAATTATAATAGTTTTCAGTAGCACAAATAGTTCTGAAGTTCTTAGAGATTTGATTAGGCGTTGCTTGACAAGGTCAGGCATAAACATAATTTTAGTAAAAATGTACTAAGTAAAAATGTATTAAGTAAAAAATTTTATTAAGATAAAAATGTATTATTCGTGAATTCAAAAAGAAAATTGAAAAACGTAATAACAAAATCCAAAATTTTTTATTTAAAATGTATTAAATAAATGCATAAAACTCAAAAATGAATGAAAATAACTTGCTAATTAAAATTTTTATTCATTTTACAAAACAATTGCATTTTGAAAGTGGGGTTACTGAGTCTGCTGCGAGAATTTCTCAGAACGTGCTTAGCCACGCTGAATAAGCGCTCCACGGGAGGACAAGTTATTTAAACACGAAGTTAGCTATGGATGCATATATATTGCACATTAATTTTAAAAATTAGAAAAACATAAACATTTTTTTCAAATTTAATTTTTTTTTAGAAGGCTTACCGAGTTTTAGAAAAAAGTAACGATTTCATGCTACATTTCCGTAACAAATACTTGTACTTTTTCCTTAAAAATGTAACGAACAAGTAAAAGTACTAAATTTAAAAAAATAACGAAGTACAAGTAAAAGTACGTACTTTTTACCTGTACTGGTGGTACAAGTAACGAAAGTAAAAGTACTGCCATACATGCAAATAACCTTACAGAAGAAGGACTGAGTAAAAGAACTTAAAGCAATAGATTTTCTGTTGTTGCCCCTGATCACTACTACTGTCGTGACTCCCTTTATCGTAGACAGCTTCAATTACAGGAAGCATTGCTTTTGTAACTCCTTTAGTATGTTATGAAAAAACATTCTTACTTTACATGCTTTTATTAGCAATATTTTTAAAAAAATCGTTAGAGCATAGTAAATTGTTGAAGGAGATTTTCCCCTTCTCTAGACACTCATACTTATGACTAGACACTCATACTTATATTAAAGGTTGTGAAGCTGCCTGACAAATAATATAAATGACAGTTTTAAAAATTAACTAAATTTTTTTAAAAAAATTTTTATGTACTTCCTTTATTAATTTTTTAGTTTTTATCTTTAGAAAATATTCTAATCTTTTGCATTCTTAATAGGGTGGTCCAGGAGCATCTTCTACTGGTCATGGTAATTTTTTAGAGATTGGACCTTTAGATGAATACTTGAGGCCAAGGAATTCTACTTGGGTATTTTTTTCCTTTCTTCTATAATTGTAAATCAGTGCATTTCAGTAGGCTCGTATCTATCAAACACCAACACTATTGCAATCATAGTTCATGCTGATCATTCAATCTATTTTTATTTTTTCTCTCGCCACCACTTTTTTAAGATGTTATTTAAATAGTTCTTATTTTCATGTTGTTAAAAAAATTTTCATTCTCATCTTTTTAGTTAAGTTGCATACTGTATATCAATAAAAAATTATTCTTCAGCTCTACGTTGCTGAAAATAGTGGTTGCTTAAAAAGCATGAAAGGCATTGAAACTAAGTAGTTTTACATTTTAGTGGTTTCTAACATTTTGTAAATAAGTTGTAAACAGTGCATAGAGCATTTGAAGCGGGGAAAGCTTGAAACAATGAAAGCTTGCATATTATGTTTTGTGTTTTTATCTATAAAAATAAAAAGAACTTTTGTGTAACTTTTCTATTTCTAGAACTGTTTATGCTGGAATCCTAAAATTTATTTTTAAGAGACAATTTTAGCCCCCAATTCTAAGACTCTATCAAAATTTTAATTCGTCTTTTCAGAAAGGTGATTTAAAAAATAAATTTTTCTTTTGTATTTGGCAATATGCAAAAAATACAAAACTGCAAGCAGTTCTGTTTTTTTATTATTATTATTATAATTACTCAAAGGATAACAGCAGTGATGCATTTTAAGGATACATGTGAAACTGCACACTTATTTAGTTTCTTGTTAAGTTTTTAAAATCTATTTCCATAAGTCTAAATTAAGTAAAATGAAGGATATTTGAAATAAAAAAATTATGATGCGCACTAAAGTTTAAAATTAATGGAGAATATTGATTTTTTATTGCTTGTTAATGAAATTCAAAACTAAAAATAATTTGTTTCAATATTTATTTTTTAGCTCAGCAAAGCAAACTTGTTGTTTATTGACAATCCTGTTGGTACTGGATTCAGTTATGTAACCAATAAGTCTGCACTGGCTACAACTAACAAGCAAATAGCTGATGATCTTGTCACTTGCTTAACTTCAATATTAGATACTGTGCCAGAATTCCAAGTAACTAATTAATTAATTTTCATTATTTTCAAATGTTATCTGTTTAAAATTATCCTAATTATTAAATATAGGATCACAATCACAATTTATTGTTTTTGTAAAATTGCTGTAAAGTTTAATTATATGTTTTTGAAAAATTTGGTTTTTAAGATTAAAAAAATATATGAGTGACATTTGAATTAGTTTAATGTGAAATATATAAAAAAATTATTAAAATAATACTATTGATTTTTAAGGTTTGAAAAAGTACAAAGCACTTGCAGTTTTCAAAGAAAAAGTGAATTTTATTGATTTTTTTCAAGAATTTTTCAGGTTTTATTGTGCTTAATTTAAGCAGAAATTGTACTCTGACACATTATTGATGCAGGATGTAATAGTTTCAATATTATATTTAAAAAATAACTGGTACTGGTGTGTGAACAGTTAGTGTGCTTTTATTAATCATCATTTTGATTTAAATGTAGCTAGATTAAAAAAATTAGATATTATCTTAAATTAACTTCAATATAACTATAACCAGTGTAATACTTAACAAGTATATTTTTTTATTTTAATTTCTAAGCTTTATTTTTTTCGTTGGTAGAAATCTGCATTGTATATATTTGGTGAATCCTACGGAGGAAAAATGACTGTGGATTTCGCTCTTGCTCTGTCTAAGGTAAATATTTAGAAAATTATTTTTTATTTATTTTTTTTTTCATTTCGGTGTACTTCTCATGGCTTTGTTTTCAAAATAGTATTCTAAGCTTAAGTCTTACAGCAGAAATCATAAGAAACAACGTGCTTTTAAAACAAATTTGCACTGCTAAATAGTATTTAATAGTTAGCAATCTTTTTAAAAAAATTTAAACATGCTTAACTAAAGTAGATTGTCTACTTATAACAATTTTTAAAAAAAAATTTTCTTTTAACTTCTTTTTCCTATAGCTCAGCTAATAAGATAGTCTTTTAAATATCTTTCAGCATTAGTTTTGTTTTATAATTTGAAGTGAAAATAAAATATTTTGACGGAAGAACTCAGAAGTAAAATCAATCTGTTCAAAGAGTCTTATAATTCTTAAAAAATCAATAACCAATTAAAACAAAAGTTGTATTCTTTTTCTGCATTGTTTAAAAACTATAAAGAAATTGCTGTTTCATTTTGTTTATATTATACTTACCAATGTGTCTTTGAAAAATTTTTCAATGTGTGTTAAAATAATGGAAATGTATGACCAACTACTTAAATGCTTTTTTCCGATTTTGTTTTTCTTTTAAACAATATAATTTTTGCTATATATCATAGCAATGATAAAAAGTGGAATTTGAAAAAAAATGGAACTGATGGTCTGAAACAATTTCTGCTATTGATAACTTTGACAAAAATCATTTGATTGAGTTAAGTCTTGTTATGTGAATTTAGCTTGCTTGCTATTGAAGGAAAAATTTTTTGGTTAGACGCTCTATTATCACAAGAAAACATTTTTATTAAATTCGTTATTCGTTTATTATGTTTATTCTTGTCTGTTTAACAAATTTACAGCAATGAACACAATAACCATAACATACTTCATAGTGTTGAGAGCTGTTTGCTTAGCTCACTTTGTTCTCTAAAAACAAATTTTCCGCTAAAGACTCTGTGTGACAATTTTGACGAATGTAAAAATGAGATAGTTTTTTGTATTATTGTGTTTTTTTTTATAAAGTATTATTTTACTGGAATTTTCTTGTGGGGATAGTTAATTGAGCACAAATTTAATGAAAGCCAAATGAAACTAAAATATAATTGTTTATTTATCGAACTACTTTATAATAATATTTTTTTAGCAATCTAATTATTGTAAGAACTTTTTCTACCAGAGAAGTTTCAATTAGTGTTTTTAAAGGATTACTCTGTAATTCAATGTTATCAAATTTCATAAAATCTAAAATAATAGTTTGTAATAAACAAAATTCATTATGTTTATATCACACATTTTTAATTATCACCATTCATGGCTTGTGTCCTCTAAAGAAAAAGTGCTGTTACTAATTACCTACGTTAAAAAATCATAAAGTTATATTAAAAAATTTAAAACTATTGTTATTAAATAAACATTGATCTCATTGCAATATATTACCTAATTAGTAGAATACATATAATCTATCTATTAAAATTGAAAAAAAAAGTTGTTTTGATTTTTTCTGAAGCATCATTTAATACTGTATATTGTATAAAGTGTCAGACAAATTGTTGATATTCAGTTGATAAAAAATTTTATGTTTAAGGATATATTTGTGCTTTTTTTATTTAAATTTACATTAAATTCATTGATGAGGTCTTTAATTTTTACGCAGTATCATAAAGAAATTTATTATTTTATGCTTCTTAAAATACTCTATAGAAAAAAAACTTCCAGTTTTTAAGGGATCTTGGATACTGATTTCAAATGTTTCAGCCTTTCATCCCTTCAGTGGGTCGATAAATGGGTACCAAGCATGCTTGGGAACTAAACACTGAGAGGGGGGGGGGTTCCGCGTTCGATTGACCACCTGACCTGAACGCGAATTGCCAAACCATACCATAGATTATAAACTTGGCGATTGCAGGTGGAATTGGCGATGGATTACGCGTAAATGTGGTTCGAGAACGAAATTACATTAACCTAAACAGTGTGATTCGATACTCTTCTTCTCCTCCTCCTCGACTAGCCATGATGAATAAAAATAATTCATTAATTCTTTTTAGTAGAGAACTAAAAAAGAAAATAACCTTTTTATTGTTAGGATCACTTTACAAATACACTGTATTTACATTTTATTAAACACAATAATTTATATTTTATAAAACGATCTAGTTTTTTGATGTAACAGATTCAATTTTTTAATTTTTTTTTGCAAGAATTGTGTCTGCGAAGAAATGAAAATGATTTATTAATCAACCAATCACAAAAAATAACGTAACATTTTAATACCATGTTTTATTAGAACGCAATTGGAATTCTCTATAAAAGAATAATGTAAGCTTTTTTATAAAGATTTTTTTTTAGAAATTAACAAACACATATTATTTACTGAAAAAACAAATTACAGTATTCAAAAATTTTATCACGCTTTAAAGTAATAGTTTCTTGCAAACGAAATAATCGATATTTTTAAAATAATTTTAGAAAGCGTTTGTTTCATTACTAGAAGCATTTATTGTAGAAAAAAATATATTAAATTTCTTTTTTTGCATACATTTATTAAATTACTTTTTTGCAATGAGATGAGATCTAAAACTTCGTGAAAAATTGATTCAATTCTTTAATATCTATAAAAGTCCGTAAATACTTCATTCATTATGGAGGTCATAAATACCTTGATACTCTTTCAATATAAGAATAATAAATGCAATTAATAGAAAATGCAAAATTTTAAAAATATATTTAATTTACATATATTGCGTACAGGTTATTCTGCAACGATCATACGTAATATAAATTTATAGTTTCCTAAATACTGTTATATGAGTTTGGTAATTAAAAATATAATTAAAAAATAACATAAATAAGAAAATAACATAATTAAAAAAATTGTCAACCTACAATTAAAAACTTCCTGTTGCAAATAATAATAATAATTATAATTTTTAACAACTTTTTTAGGCACAAATTTTTAATTCTCGAACTTAATACTATCCTTCATATGAAAATATCAGAAAATTTATAAAAGAAAAACTATATTGTAAAATTGAGCCATTGGCGACAACAGAGGTTAAATGCATGTGCTGAGTTTAAATAAATTATATGTTGTAAAACTCACATTTAAGACTTAGATCAATGTAATATTAGGTCATAAGAGTGTTTTTTACAAATAAATGTAGTGATTGTTTGATTTATAATTGTAAGTCATGGGTATTTAATGTTAAGTTATAAATTTCTTTTGAATTTTTGAAATAGGCAAAGCAGCATATCATTTCAACTTAACTTTCAACAACCAAAGATAAATAAAAAATAAAAGTTAGATAAAAATTTTAAATGAAATACAGTCAGAAAAATTCTTTCTAAATAATATTTAAATAAAACACAATCACTTCGCCTGAGTGATTTTGAAAGGAATTCCAAACTTTTTAATTTTACAAGTTAGGTGAAAAGTAAATATCTTACAATAGTGGTTGGGAATTAAGGAAATTCTAAATCTAAAGTTTGAGTCCTAGAACATAAAAATCTGATCTATAGATCAAAAGTAAGTTTTAGATTTTTTGTTTACTGCTCACTGTACACTAAAACATGATTTTTTTTCTTTTGAAATTTTGATTTTAATGCCATTACTTCAACCTCCTTCGAGTTATGCTTACTTTAAAAATTTCATTTCAACTTTATTTTTCTCTTCACTTTTAAACTGTAAAAGACTTTTTCTACATTTGTAAATTATGAAAAAAGTTAATCTGATTGCGTGAACAGTTAATTCATTAAAATTGGACATTCCCAATTAACTCCTTCTAATAGTCATTTATATTATTAATAATAAATATTTACCCAAAATTATAATAAAGGAAAGTTTGATTGGAAATTTAAAAGTTTTTGCAGCAATAATTAGGGAATTTCTATTGACAAAATTCAAGTAAATTTTTTTTCCTGAGCAAAATGCATTTTTATTTAAAAGGGTACAATACTGACTTAATATTTATACGATAAAAGATTCTCTAATCGCTAACACCGATGACCGGAAAAAATTTCGTTTTGTTTTCTTTTCCACAAAAAGTTTAAAACTTAAATTGTTGCTCCTTCATTATAAAGCAATCGTATAATAATTTCGTATCATGTAAGAATTTATGACGAAGTTACTTATCTGCCGCTTTACAATTATAAAACGAAATAATTATTCAATTCTACTTGCATTTAAAAATGTAATACTCAATTGATCAATGAATTTTACGATTATTATCATAAAACTGTGTATAATGAATATTTCAACTAAAATAATTAGTACAAAATAGCTGCTAAAAATTCTCTTAAACATTTATAAATATTATACATTTATAAATTTCAGCTTTAAAAATATTGCTAGATTTCCATAATGACTGAAAATTAAATAAAATTTTAAAAAAAATTGTAAATGGTTATCGAGCTGAACCATTTAATTAATGAATATAGTATTGGAAACAAAGTCTCTTCTAAACAATAAAAAAAAATTTAAAATCTTTTAAGCAAACAAATTTTATTGTAATAATCATTTCACTATTAAGGATTAAAGGTTATTGTGAAATTAGGAATTTTAATTAGTTGATGAGTAGGTAAAGAAGTTCATTACTTGAAATACATTTAATGAAAGTTATGAAAATATAGAAGGAGTTATGGAGATAATAATATATATATTTTTTTTTTATCTTAGTTTTGCTACAACCTTCTGAAAAACGCTAATGCACACAATTATGTTAACAGATACAAACAATTATGTCGGCGCTATAACAAAAAATACGCTTTATATTTCATTTAATGCAGAAGAATCTAATGAAGATCCACTTAATTGAAACTCTGAAATGTCGCACCCATATATAACTTGGTGAATGATAGATACGTGATACCGAAAACAAAACAAAAACATAAGCACACAGCTGTTTGGCGATTTGCGAGAACGCTCCCTAAACGCCAATAGAAATTTTCGCCAACCCGTTTATAATCTATGGTATGGTTTGGCAATTCGCGACCGGAACATCTGCTCCTGCACCCCAGAGCCCAAGGTCAAGAAAACTGAGATGGGCACAGTAGGCCTCGGCCCTCAAGGGCTGTCGCGCAGCTGAGTTTAGCTTAGATTTCAAATGTGAAATCCATTTCTCTCTCCAAGTTGCAATTTTTTTTTTAAAAAAAAAGATATTTTTATTCTTTTTTTATCGAATTATACAAGTTTACAAGCTAGGGCCTCTTCCCTATTACAACTGTTTTTTCATGTGCTTCTGAACAGTTCATGATAGGGATGCGCACCTAGACGTGTATAGCAATATTTCCAGGCATAGATGCAATATTACCTAATCCTGACGATGTTCCGTAACTCTCCTAAAAGTTTGATACAACTTTTAAGCTACTTCTGTTATACATAACTTTTCCAAACTTGTACATTGGGACAAAAGTTCAACTGAAAATGACATTTAATAGAATAAAAAAAATAGTAGCTTTAGGTGCAAAGTTAATATCAAATTTAAAATCGACACAAAAAAATTTTCCCTTGTGTAGTGTATAATGTGCCTGGCAAATTTTTAATATTCAGTTTATTAATAAAAATATAATGTTTAAGGATAAGTTTAAACTTTTTTTAGATCTCTATTAAGTTCATATATGAAATCTTTAATTTTCGTACAGTATCAATAGAAATTTGTTGTTTTGTTCTTGTTAAGTTATTATATTAGATGCACATTTCATTCAAATTATTTCAGGCAATTAAGAGTAAAACCATCAATGTCAACTTTAAGGGTATTGCACTTGGTGATCCTTGGATATCACCCATTGATTCAGTTTTTACTTGGGGTCCATATTTGTATGCAACAGTAAGTAACCTTAATCATTTATTAATTTCGTGTACAACAAAGTTTAGATGCAAGTTTTTTTCCATATCAGTATTTATGTAGTATTTATTGTCCTTCTATAAATGATCATGAATATTTCACGATAAAAATTGTTAGCAATACAAATTTTTAACTTTGTTCTTTGTTTGAAATTTTTGAGTACCTTTAAACAAAGTAATAATTCCTAATTCTTAAGGTTTCACATTGAAGTAAATTTTATTTTATCGAGTACTGTTAATTACATGAAATGTCAAGTTGCTTGCAACTTTTTTTACTTTCAATTAAAAAAAAATTTTCAAAATTGTATTTAATTATCTAAGTTTTGGTTACTACTCTTATTTATCTATACATAATAATAAACGCAGCTGTGTGCGTGTCTGTTTGTCTGTCTGTCTGTAATCACAATATATCGCCCCAGAAGCCTCGCCCAGGCACGAAACTCGGCACATAATTGTGTTTTGACATAATGAAGAAGTATTTTTTTTCTTTTTCAAAAATTTGGATTAGTTATTTAGNTTGTTTGATTTATAATTGTAAGTCCTGGGTGTTTAATGTTAAGTTATACATTTCTTTTGAAATAATTTTTAAAAAATGCAAAGCAGCATATCATTTCAACTTAACTTTCAACAACTAAAGATAAATAAAAAATAAAAGTTAGATAAAATTTTTAAATGAAATACAGTCAGAAAAATTCTTTCTAAATAATATTTAAATAAAACACAATCACTTCGCCTGAGTGATTTTGTAAGGAATTCCAAACTTTTTAATTTTATAAGTTAGGTGAAAAGTAAATATCCTACAATAGTGGTTGAGAATTAAGAAAATTCTAAATCTAAAGTTTGAGTCCTAGAACATAAACATCTGATATATGGATCAAAAGTAAGTTTTAGATTTTTTGTTTACTGCTCACTGTGCACTAAAACGTGATTTTTTTCTTTTGAAATTTTGATTTTAATGCCATTACTTCAACCTCCTTCGGGTTGTGCTTACTTTATAAATTTCATCTCAACTTTATTTTTCTCTTCACTTTTAAACTGTAAAGGACTTTTTCTGAATTTGTAAATTATGAAAAAAGTTATTAATCTGATTGCGCAAACAGTTAATTTATTAAAATTGGACATTCCCAATTAACTCCTTCTAATAGTCATTTATATTATTAATAATAAATATTTACGCAAAATTATAATAAAGGAAAGTTTGATTAGAAATTTAAAAGCTTTTGCAGCAATAATTAGGGAATTTCTATTGACAAAATTCAAGTAATTATTTTTTTCCTGAGCAAAATGCATTTTTATTTAAAAGGGAACAATACTGACTTAATATTTATACGATAAAAGACTCTCTAATCACTAACACCGATGACTGGAAAAAATTTCGTTTTTTTTCTTCTTTTCAACAAAAAGTTTAAAACTTAAATTGTTATTCCTTCATTACAAAGCAATCGTATAATAATCTCGTATCATGTAAGAATTTATGACGAAGTTACTTATCTACCGTTTTGCAATTATAAAACGAAATAATTATTCAATTCTACTTGCATTTAAAAATGTAATACTCAATTGTTCAATGAATTTTACGATTATTATCATAAAACTGTGTATAATGAACATTTCAACTAAAATAATTAGTACAAAATAGCTGCTAAAAATTCTCTTAAACATTTATAAATTTTATACATTTATAAATTTCAGCTTTAAAAATATTGCTAAATTTCCATAATGACTGAAAATTAAATAAAATTTTAAAAAAATTGTAAATGGTTATCGAGCTGAACCATTAATGAATATAGAATTGGAAACAAAGTCTCTTCTAAACAATAAAAAAAATTTAAAATCTTTTAGGCAAACAAATTTTATTGTAATAATCATTACACTATTAAGGATTAAAGGTTATTGTGAAATTAGTAATTTTAATTAATTGATGAGTAGTTCACTGCGTGAAATACATTCAATGAAAGTTATGAAAATATAGAAGGAGTTATGGAGTTAATAATATATAATTTTCTTTTATCTTAGTTTTACTACTACCTTCTGAAAAACGCTAATAAACACAATTATGTTAACAGATACAAACGATTATGTCGGCGCTATAACAAAAAAATACGCTTTATATTTCATTTAATGCAGAAGAATCTATTGAAGATCCACTTAATTGAAACTCTGAAATGTCGCACCCATATATAACTTGGTGAATGATAGATACGTGATACCGAAAACAAAACAAAAACATAAGCACACAGCTGTTTGGCGATTTGCGAGAACGCTCCCTTAACGCCAGTAGAAATTTTCGCCAACCCGTTTATAATCTATGGTATGGTTTGGCAATTCTCGACCGGAACATCTGCTCCTGCACCCCAGAGCCCAAGATCAAGAAAACTGAGATGGGCACAGTAGGCCTTGGCCCTCAAGGGCTGTCGCGCCGCTGAGTTTAGTTTAGATTTCAAATGTGCTATCCATTTCTCTCTCCAAGTTGCAATTTTTTTTTAAAAAAAAATGATATTTTTGTTCTTTTTTTATCGAATTATACAAGTTTACAAGCTAGGGCCTCTTCCCTATAACAACTGTTTCTTCATGTGCTTCTGAACAGTTCATGATAGGGAAGCGCACCTAGACGTGTACAGCAATATTTCCAGGCATAGATGCAATATTACCTAATCCTGACGATGTACCGTAACTCTCCTAAAAGTTTGATAAAACTTTTAAGCTACTTCTGTTATACATAACTTTTCTAAACTTGTACATTTGGACAAAAGTTCAACTGAAAATGACATTTAATAGAATTAAAAAAATAGCAGCTTTAGGTGCAAAGTTAATATCAAATTTAAAATCGACACAAAAAAATTTTCCCTTGTGTAGTGTATAATGTGCCTGGCAAATTTTTAATATTCAGTTTATTAATAAAAATATAATGTTTAAGGATAAGTTTAAACTTTTTTTAGATCTCTATTAAGTTCATATATGAAATCTTTAATTTTCGTACAGTATCAATAGAAATTTGTTGTTTTGTTCTTGTTAAGTTATTACATTATATGCACATTTCATTCAAATTATTTCAGGCAATTAAGAGTAAAACCATCAATGTCAACTTTAAGGGTATTGCACTTGGTGATCCTTGGATATCACCCATTGATTCAGTTTTTACTTGGGGTCCATATTTGTATGCAACAGTAAGTAACCTTAATCATTTATTAATTTCGTGTACAACAAAGTTTAGATGCAAGTTTTTTTCCATATCAGTATTTATGTAGTATTTATTGTCCTTCTATAAATGATCATGAATATTTCACGATAAAAATTGTTAGCAATACAAATTTTTAACTTTGTTCTTTGTTTGAAATTTTTGAGTACCTTTAAACAAAGTAATAATTCCTAATTCTTAAGGTTTCACATTGAAGTAAATTTTATTTTATCGAGTACTGTTAATTACATGAAATGTCAAGTTGCTTGCAACTTTTTTTACTTTCAATTAAAAAAAAATTTTCAAAATTGTATTTAATTATCTAAGTTTTGGTTACTACTCTTATTTATCTATACATAATAATAAACGCAGCTGTGTGCGTGTTTGTTTGTCTGTCTGTCTGTAATCACAATATATCGCCCCAGAAGCCTCGCCCAGGCACGAAACTCGGCACTTAATTGTGTTTTGACATAATAAAAAAGTATTTTTTTTCTTTTTTCAAAAATTTGGATTAGTTTTTAAGTTATCCGTCATTTTGTAAAAAAAATCCATGCTTTTTCGTCTTTAAAGAGCCATATTCAAAAAACTATTAAAAAATGCACATACTTTTATCCACTCTTATAAATGTATGCTAATGCGAACCTTACAATTGAAATATTAATTTTCGACTACTTAAACCAATAATATACGAAGGAATTAATAATTTAATTGTAAGGTTCGCATTAATTTACATTTATCAAAGTGGAGAAAAGTATAACTTTTGTATTAAAAATGTGGCAACATATTCGATACGCAAATAGAACGTGCTTTGGTTAACTTTCAATCAGATTAATAAAAGATATTTATATATTTATTGATTAGTTTTGTAATTTTATAAATCAAATTTTCTATAATTTTAATTTTTTGAAAAGTGACATGATTACTTTGTTTCAAAGAGTAATTATAAGATACCTGTAAACTTTTTTAATGCATTGAATGTTGCCTTTTTTTTAAATGAAATTACATAACAAAATCACATTTTCACCATGTTAAAATAAAAATTATTGAAAATTGCAGAAAACTATTACTAGAAAAGAAATGTCATAATTTAAAAATAGACAAATATTATTAAACTTTTTCATTTATTTATTTAAATTTTTGAAAAATTTAAATTTCTACTTTTCGAGAAAAAACTGACATAACTTAAGTTATTGATTTGATATGCATCTAAACTTTAATTTGGGTATTTTAAAAATAAAATTATTTCATTATCATTTAATGTTGACAGTTTTTTTGTGCACAATTTTTGTAATCCTCAGACTTCAGAATCCCTAAGAGTTACACTTTCAATAAACACAAACATTTTCAATCTCCTTGTTTAATATAAAATTTCTATTGCAAAATAATGAAATGATATAAGAATTCTTCTTAAATAGCTATAAAACTTTTATAAACTAATTACTATGGGGTTTGAAAATTTATGCTCTCTATGGTACTAGAGTCTACATCTGAGTTTGCGTTAAATTTAGGACACATCACTGTTTCAAAATTAAAACGACACTTCTGCAAACATAATACGTTGCAGAAGTGTCATTTTAGTTTTGAACCAGCAACATTATATATAAAAGAATGATCCTACATACTTTTTCTTGGCAATGTAGTCTACCTATTCTACTTGTTGTTCATCAAAAAATGCACCGAAATGTCTGATATAGTCTACTAAATTTCCACTTCTGTTACTAAAAAAATGTGCTTTGCATTCATATTTGATTTATGTTTAGAAAATCAAGCATGCAGGTTTTGAATACTCATTGTTTTGAATACTCATTGTAGATTTTTTTAACTAAAGTTTATATAGTTTTATTTGATAAATTGAGGTTTAGTAACAAGAGATAAGCAGAGTAACAGAAGTTTCAATTAATCACCAGTTTTTTTATTTATAATTTTTTTTATCAATTATCATAATAACGTACTGTCATTTGCTGCACGCTATTATCGGGTTGACAGGTATTCAGATTTTGCAGATATTTCAAACATGGTATATTAACATTTATTAAATTATTTTTTTAACTAAGAAATAAGTAGGCTTATATGATAAAAGGAAATTTAACTTATTCGATAAGAATAAACGGCTAATATTTGTCTTTATCCACCTAATATAAAATCTTTTTCAGTCTCTTTTGGATAAAGTTGAACTTCAGTCAGTTAAAGCACATGCATATGAAGTCAAACAGACTTTAGCTGCAGGGCAGTTCAAAAACGCCACTGATAGATTAATTCAGATCCAAGGATTGATTGCCAATGTTAGTATGATTATTTTAGATTTTAAAGTATTTGCCATTTTAGAGTTTGAGTTATGGGAGTTATGAGTTTCAGTTTAGGGTTGAGTTATGGTTTATTCTTATATAATTTAATGTAAAATTCATTTTACATTGAATTTCATAAAAAGATATCATTTATAATTATAGGGATTGACAATCAAGTTTTCCACTTACTTAGGCACACAACTCAGTGTGGGCTTTTGTATGGTTATAAACAGATAATTTTTTACTTATCACTTTAAATATACAAAGTATCTTATACACAGTAGATTCAGAGAATAAGGAGTTGATTAATAAAGTTGCAGCCTATCCTGAATATTTCAGATTATTTACACACAAAATTTAATTAAACTGAAATTACAGACGAAATGAGGAATGTATGTTGTTGTTACTTATGCCAGTTGCCAATATCAGCAAGCCTGCTTGAAATCAATCGAACTTTTAAGGTAGATGATGCGTTTCTTGTTTTTTTCAGTGGCGACATCTATGGCCAACATCAGTCGCCGCCCAATATACAGAGAGGACTAATCATACTCCATTCATTCATCCACAGATCGTAATTTTGATCTGAACCAGAAAACAATCAATCTCCAATTCAGTACCCACAGAGGTATTTATTTTTTATGGAAGAATGGAGGATTTCCGGACCCCAACAGATTTAGCTTGCAACAGTCATCATTTTATACATAAGGATTCTTTTGCCTACTCCTGTTCTCACGAACAATAGCCCAATGTCCTACCAACCAGGCTATCCCGGCCTGTGTGAGATTATAAACATAGCTAATATAAATCATATTTAAAATCCATTCAAGTATTTTAATTGTAATTAATAAGGATTCAATAATAGTATAAAATAATTAAAGTATTAAATATTATAAATTAATATAAAATAAAAATGGAATAGATTTTTTTGTGTCCATTTTGAAACTTGAAATTAAAATATCCTCTGCAGGAATTAATTAGAATATTTAAGGCTAACCTATCAAACCATTAAAATTGCATCTCAGTACTTAAAAAACCCCTTTATTAAATCAATATTTATTAAGCTGAATTATAGTATCTGAAAATCCGATCATTTGATCAATAGTTATTATGGTGATCAGTTTTTTATTTTGCATACTGTACATAAACACTTATAGAAAAATTTGATGTGCTTATTTCAGTTTACAAATGGAGTTGACTTCTTTAATATTTTAAAGAAAGAAGACCCATTACCTAATGAATCTGTCAACACTCTGCCTAAAAATCACAGAACGTGTAAGCTATTTGATTATTTTCTTCTGCATTTAAACTGTTGAATGGCTTTAAAAAAAATCTTTTTTCTCTTCAAATGAGATTGGTTTTAAAGTGCTCCCACTGAGTCATTTACAAACATTAATGTTTTTCAATTTGTAGCTACGCTTATTTAAATCCTGATTTTTTTTAAGCAATTAACATTTTCTCTTGCTAACTAATAATCAAAATTTGATAAAAATATAAAATTATCTGTGTAAATGTATAGTAGTGTGAACACAGTCTGGTTAACTATGTGCAATTTTTAATAATTCTGGAGTAGAGGTGAGCGACATTTTCTCCAAGAGAGCCTCAGAGAAGAAGTTTTCAGTAATCCCAATAAATTGGCTTTTTTATATTAATTGATTATTTATTTATTCCTTATTAAAATAAAAACAATAAAAAACAGCGTATAGCAAGTTACTACTCTTA